ATACGAAGTTATACGATGTGCGTGCGTGCGTGCGTGCGTGTGATGAACATTTTAAAGATGCAATATGAGAAATAAACGTGTATAGGTATATATATATATATATATGAAAATGTTAACCTGTGTTTAATTTTGAAACATTTGAGTTTATTTTGTAGAAATTATTTTGTCTATATTATGAGATAAATTTTAATTATTTATATATAAAATAAATAATAAAATATTTTTTCTATTTTGATTCATTAACTGACAGTATTACTTTATAATATACAACATTTAATATAACATGAACTTTTTTAAGTAATTATTTTATATATTTTTTTCTTACCAGTTAACTTAGATTCTTTAATTACCACAGGTGCTCACATTGATGAATTTGATGACATGGATGATGAAATGGAAGAAGAGAACATTGATGATGAGGACGATGAAAAGGTATGAATTATGACGTGTCTCATATATATATATATATATATATATATTAAAGCTAATTGAAAAAATATATATTCTAATAAATTTTATCATAATAAATTTAGTAAAATTGTTCCATAAATATTACGAATAAAGATAAAAGAAGATATTGTATTTATAAATATCAATTGACGGTAGAATGTATCTCTAAAAATGTGACTTTTGAATGCAGATTATCTGAAAATGTTATAGTTTATATTATATAAGTTATATAATTTACTAATGCATTTGCTAATGCATTTTATGATATATCTTTAGTTTATCTTTACATTCTCTCTCTCTCTTTCTATATTGTTCGAACCAGCAATCCAATTATATGTATAATAAATATCCATTTCAGGCACCGCGAAAGAAACGAAAGCTTTTATCAGGAGATAAAAAAAACGGCGTTGAATGAGTACGGCCGTGAATGTAGACAAATAGAATATTAAGATAAAAATAAACATTACTATATAGGCAGTGTGTCTTAAAAATATCACAATATTGCATTAAGGACATTTTTTATTTTGCTTAAAGCAGCTTTATCCTTTAAGAAAATACCCTTATAATTAAGGAAGGAAAAAGATGGAAAGGAACCACTTATGAAAACTCATGAATGTATTGATGTGTTTTCATTCATGTTTTATTTTTGTAAAATAAATCTTATTTTGCAAAGAGTTGCTTTTATTCCTTACTAATCACGCTTCCTTTTTTTCCATTTTTTGCAAAATCATTTATTTGAATTGTAATTTTTTATTGGATCTAAGGAAATCAAAAGTATTATCACTTATTAATATTTATATTGATAATGCAATTTATATATTTTTGTGGAAGTCAAAGTTAAGCTAACAAATTAATTTTAGAATTATAATTTGATTTTGAAATGCGATGAAATTTCATATTTATTTTGTTAAAATTTTCTTTGAATGGAAAAGATGTAAATGTATTATATATAAAGCCTTCCCATATTTCTTTACTTACTATAATACATACTATAATATACCGTTTGAATATTATTAGATATGGAAGTATGTAGAATTAATTGCATGTGATTACATTTTATATTTCTTGTAGGATCCTGAAGATGAAGACGACGAAGATGACGAACCTAAGAAGAAGAATGCTAAATTAGCAGCTGCCGCTAAATACAAAAATCAGGCTAACAAGAACAAGAAAAAATAAACAAGAGCCTTAACATTATGGAAATAAAACAAACTCTTAAGTTAAGATATTATACATTAAGTCCATCATTATCATCCGCATTTATGCGAATCTAGTATCATTTCATCAGATTATCATACAAAAAAAACAGTTGCCTTCCACCTTTTTAAAACACAACTGGACCAACAAAATAATAAGACAATTATATTATGTATAATTTTGGAATGATTTCGGATAATTTCTGATTTTCATTGCTTAACTTGAAAAAAATATTTGTGTGCTTTAACTAATTTTTTATGCTTCTTTTCAAATGAAGTTTATTACGATATTACCTCAGTTATATTGATATTTGTATAACATATCTTTGATATGTATGCTCGGATATTTTTCCAGAATGTTGTATATTTAGTAACATAGGATTTGTCAGAAGTTGTTAAAAGAAAGCAAATATTTGTGACAAAGTTTTTATAAGTATAGTTTCTTCAAAAAGGGGTCTCTTGATATGGAATACTTACGTGATTTAAGATAAAATTGAATATTTTTTCTCTTGATAAAATTTTATGTTCTTGATAACAGAGATCCTAAAACGGAATATTATTTTTTTTTCTTTTTTACTAGACGACTTATTGAAATTTATATGATACAAATATATAATTTTGGCATGATAAGACAATGTGATTAAATGATTTCCGGCCCAGTTGTAAAATTTGTGGAAAGCATGAATAGATCCATAACGAGAGATTTTATATTTTTGGTTTTTTCTGACATCGTGTTCATATCGATGCGACTCTTTTAGAGAAAATATATCCTAATGTTTAAACAAGACTTTTGGAAATGGTTCTCATAAAGAATCGCGAAACTAAGGCTCCAGTATAATTTATTATTTTCGTGTGTACAAGATGGGGGGAAAGGATTATTACTCATTCAAAAATCCTAATTCCAGAATTTTATGTCTCTAAAGATATCAACATTAAAAGAAGAAAATATATACGTTATCTCAACATTCATTCCATTTGATGAAAGATAATAGAAACGGGAGTTACAGGTGTACTGGGTAAATGTTCTTACATCAGCGTCATGTGCTATTAAAGCATATGTTGTGCATGTATAAAAAAATCATACGTGCGATTGATAAGTAGTCTGTACACCTATTTTGTACATATACGATACAATAAAAAATTTCACAACTTTTAAAATCCGTATTGCTTGGGTAAAATATTCATTTGAATGTAACCTGCCATATTGTAACAAAAATATTTATTTTTTTAATCTATTTATAAACTATACACATTATTAGAAAAAATAATTACTCATTTTTTATTTCTGAAATGATAAACATTGCTTTGTTGTATTATTTGAAATGTAAAATAAGCTTATTTTAAATCCGTAAATGCGAAATGATATTATTAATTACATTCAATACTTTTCGACATTTCTAACGTTTTTCGTTTATTTTATTTAATGTCATCGATTATATACTTATTTGACAAATAATTTTTGCACGTAGGTTATTTATATAGAATTAATGTGTGATATATCAAGAATTCCTCTTTTCTTTATTTTATATAAAGGAAGAACATTGTAATTCTTTAAACACTTAAAGTGAAAACAGATTTACATGCAGAGACGATTTAAAAAAATTCTAATATAACTCTGAAACTTGACTATTAAAATTAAACACGAAGTGTTTTAATATGATATAACCAATGAAATAATAGAAAATTATTGGATATACCTAAAAAAAATTACAAATTGGCATATGGAGTTCGATTTTGTGATATGCAGAATGTTAACTTGAATAAATGGTCTACTAATGTAGAAAGCAAAGTTTCCTGTGACAATACAGAATATGATATAGCTGATCATGAAATAGTAACTTTATCACAGGTACATATGTTAGTATATTTTATTCGATTATTGACTTATAAATTATAAAAGGATAAATTTCTAAAATACCTCATATTATGAGGTATTTTATATAAATGAATAAATAAACATATTAGTAAATTATTTTATACATTTTAAGAATCACTATTTAATATACTTGCAAATTATTACTTTTTATAATTTTGATAGTATTGATAACTGATTTTTAATTGTTGCATCAAGATAGCAAAATTGAATGAAGTTATAGCAAATTTAAAAGATGCTATACAGATAAAAGATGTACAATTAGAAAATTCACATCGAGAAAAAAGTAGATTACTTGCAGAGCTAAAGAAGCAACAAAGATACAATAGGAATCTTAAACGTAAGATTTAATTATTATAAGTGATTTTTTTCAAATATGTTAAGTAGATGTATTAACTCCTATATGTTTGTATATGAGTTATAATATAGAATATTATTTTGTCTATCCATAAAAAAAATCAGGATTTCATCGGTATAGTTTAAGAGATTCTAATAAATTCAAGAAATATAAATAAAACAGTACATATTAATTATTTTTATTGTAGAACAGTTAGATGGCGAAAGAATTTTCTACCAAAGGGAGAAAGATCATTTCATTGAAGAAATGCAATGGCACAGAGGCAGATATACAGGCAAAGTGTCGAAGTTTCAGCAACATAAGCAAAAGGAGTGCGAGAAAGTGCAAAATTCTTTGGAAAGAGAAAATAAGCAGCTCAGATTAGAACTGTCAGATAAAAACAAAGTTACGTATAATCTATGTGTGAAGTTTCTTCGTATGAAGCATGCTAAAGACACATTAAGATATAAATTAGACCAGTTGCTGCACGAGCATTTACTAGTAATGGCGGAGATGATGGAGAAGTTAGACGAAGCGAGAAAGGAACTTAATTTAATTGTGTCTGAGAAATTTCAAGAACCGTTGCCTCTTAATAAAGTTAAATTTTTACAAGTAAACAGTGATATATATGTCTTCCTCTTTTTCTTGTTGCTCAAATCTCTCGAATTAGATCGTATATTATATAATATCTTGTGAATCATTAGGTTGCACAAAGGAATAACAGATTGACGTATGAAAATGCAACATTAAAAATGCAGATTCATCAACTTATGCAGAACATAGAAAAATTGAAAAGCCACATGCAAAAACCGAGAAAAATTAATGTAGACGCGAAAATTATTGAGAAATTAGCAACGCAAAGCAGTACAAGGTATGTTTATGCGTGGAAAAAAAAAGAAATTATATTGAACTTTTATTGTTGCATACCTTCAATATCTTATATCAAATCTATATCTAGCATTGATATAAAAAATTAATGTTTATACACTTTTAGATCTACTCTAGATAAAACAGAAAAAGTTGCTTTGCTTTCTAAATTATCTCAACCTGTCGACCATACTGTGGAGACGATCTCGCAAGTGAATTCTGAGAGTGCAGATGACTGTGTTTAATGATGCTAATAGAGACGTTAAAAACAATTCTTAAAGGATTTCATGCAGAACGTGCACAAAGTGCATCAGGAATTGCAGAAACGGCTATTTTGCTAGAGAATAGATATAGATTCTTCGAAATAGATAATGTGTGTATTTATAAAATATATTCATATTTTTTCATACGTCCTTTATTAACCTTAATCAATTATTATTTATTTATTTATAATGTGAAAATTTTCTTTGAATTTTTGTAGATTTTATAACTTTAGGAATTTTCAGATTTTTTAAATATAAATTCGAATACTTTTCAGAAATACTAATTATAAGAAAATCTACGTCTTTCCAGAATCTTTCGTATATGTGTATATTCTGAAATATTCTAAAATTTTTAAGATTTCTCATTCTATAATTTTTGTAGAAAACTTATAAAATCTGGAAAAATTTAAGAGAAGGTATTATATTTTTTAAAAAATCTTCACAAACTTAAAATATTTAATTAAATATGACTTAAAATAACATTTTTAAAAATATGTACGATATGAGAATTTTTTCACCAAGAGCTTGTCTCGCAATTTAGGATGGTTTCCAATTATACACTTTGCGTTTCTCTTACATGTACATACATATTGTACCTTACATACACATATTTTTTTACATCATATAACATAACATGATAACACAAACTTAATTTGACTAGAAATGTTCCGAAAATTAAGATTAAAATTAACTACCAAAACAATTAAAACTTAAAAAACAGGATAACTTTAAATCCAACTTAACTATATAGTTTTATCTCAAAGATAAAATTAAATTGCACTATTAAAAGAACAAAACTAAATTATCACATATATACATAAGAATAAAACTTAACTAAATTAAATTAAACATCTCAGAAAATCTGAAATTCTTAACTAAACAAAAAGTAATCGTTGTTTCCAGGGAATGGAAAGTTACTTTTTTAAAAGTAACTAGTTATCGTTACTCGTTACCGAGTTAAAAAAATAACTAGTTACCATTACTAGTTACTGATTTTTAAAAATAATTCGTTATTGTTACCGTTACTTCAAAAGTAATGTTCGTTACTTTTTTAATGCTGAAATAAGATCTGTCTAAAAATTTAAGATGCAATTTTATATTTTAATATTAATAAAAGCAATACAACAATGACACTAAACTGATATATAAAAATACAACTAGAAAAAGGAAAACCTTTTCAATATGAGCTAGATTATGAGCTAGATAGTTAAAACTTCCAGCGTTATATGCTTAATATTTCAAAGTGAATTTATATATAATACAATCCAATATACATATCCAATTCTAAAAACTACACACCAATTAAATTTTAGATCTTGAAATGCAATTCAGCTAACATTTTTTTATAATATAATAAATTTTCAAAGTATTTTAAGATGCTTATAACGTAAATATCTTTATTAAATTACCTGTCAATTTAATTTGTGATATTGATTGACTTATGGCATTATGTTAAGATATCATAAACCAATCACAGAGCTATATTAATATTTTAAGATATTATTTAAGATATTATTTAAGATATTATTTAAAACAGTCTTAAAATAAGAATAAATTATATGAATGCTAGTTAAAGACTGAAGATTGTACATACGAAAATTTTGTCATAAATACAAAAAGTAACGATAAAAGTAACTGTATAATTCGTTACCGAAAAAATGTAACTACATTACCGTTACAGTTACCAAAAAAATAGAATAACGCCGTTATTAATCCGTTAAAAAGTAACTCCAAAAATCCAAAAAAAAGTAACTGTAACGGTAATGGCGTTACAAATAACGGGTTACTTTCAATCCCTGATTGCTTCTAACAATATAAGTAAAGAAAAAAATGCAATCAAAATCCAAATTAAAAAATTAATTCGCTCTATCCCTATTGACCGATTCTATTTTCCTCTTCAGCTCTTTTTCTTAATTTCTCCATCTCTTTTATTAATTCTGAACCCTTTTCTTCTTCTACAAATTCTTTTAATATTTCGCTTTTCGTTGCTTCGCATTTCCTCAATATACACGTGTCCTCTAATTTTTTACATTTTTATTTTTACATATTCTGCAACTTCGATCCTTTTAATTCTCTCTGTCTAATACCCTTCAACTCCTTTTGTCTTGTTTCCACTTAGCTATCAAATCCCTGCCCTTTCTTCCTCCTTTCCAAATATTTTGATTCTTAGTTATATTGTTGTCATTATATTCTTGTAATTACTCTATTATATTTAGATTTATTTATCTTTCACTATCTTTTTTCTTTGTCGCTTCTCACCATTTTCTTAAAAATTCTCTGCTATTTCTTGATTTCCTGTCTCTCTTTCATTTCCAACTACTCGTTTTTTATTCCTATACGCTTTCCAATCTCTCTTCTCTCCTCTTTATTGATCGCTCTTTCTCTAAATCCTTTATATACTTCTTTACTATTGTCTTCTTTATTTTGCAAAGCTTTACTTCATACTTTGCTGCTTTTCTGATCGCCTGTATTTTATTTCTACTGTCTTCGTTTTTTCCAACAATATATAATTTAGTAGATATTTTTCTACCTAAATTTAGGATCCACTTTGCCTAGGTATTTTCTCTTTGTCCTATCCAATCTATTTTCGTTCTGTCATCCCCATTGCATATTTCTACTCCAAACAAAACTTCTTATCAACGAGTCGAACATTTCCTTTTCTTCTAATGTTCTTTAAATATCTTCTCCCCTGTACTTTATCTCTTTTTCCGCTATATAATAAGATAGTTGTTCTTCTTCTTCTCTTTTTCTTATATATGCTTCTATATACGCCCCTCAATAATCGCCGATACAAAAATTTATATAATTTATATTATTGGAAGATAAAGAAACAAGTCCTAATTTGAAGACAAAACGCTTAATGTAACTAAAGTGATGAATATATTAAATTGAAATATTACTATAATTGTATATTTTCGTATAGCATCGAAATTCACGTGTTAGCTAGTTTTCATCACTTTCTTTGTTTTCTGATTATACTGTCTTACAATCAGAACCTAATTCAATACATATTTTTACTTTTTTGTAAAAATTTCTTCTGTTGATTGTCAAGCAATAGTGCAAAACAAGATTTATTTAATTATAAATAGAATTCTTATTCTGCGATATCAAACATTAAAAGTTCGACTAATTGTAAAATCGTTGTCTAAGCACTTTAAGGTTTTCTTCTCCTTTTCCTGTTTTTCATCGCGCTCGATTTTCTGCAAGCTGCGCAAATTTTAACACGTATTTTGTGCTATCTTAGGCCGGTATTTATAATCCGTTCTTATATTTAAAACTGTCTCAAGTACAGTCTTAAGATATCGTAGATTAACCAAAAGAACCGTATTAGCATCTTAAGACAGTGCACAGTGAGCCAGGGAGCTTGAAAAGGTGGCCAAAATTCAAAATATCGTTGAATTTTTTTGAAATTGGTATTTAAAAGGTTTTTGATGCCATTGATAACGAATCTTACACCAAAAGTTTAAAATAAAAAATGACTTATTCGCGCACCAGATACTCCATGCACGCACGTCCTGTGATCATGCCCGAACATGTCCAAGCCTTATATAAATTCTTTTATAAAATCAAACAGGATGAATAATGGAAATTAAAGCACTCTTCTCTCGATAGAAAAACGCAGCTCAAATGATAAAATCAATACGTACACGCGTACAATCGTGAAATCATAGTTAATTCGAGCGATTGGAACTTAATTGCGTTTTTGCGTGGAAATTACAGTATTCGCAAAATATCGCATAATAGGCTCAAAGTAGACATTACAATGAAGATTTTAAAACTTTAAACTTTTTATTAGAAGGTGGAACTTCGGGGAACTCGGAAACAGCAACTTGTACAAAATTGAAAAGAATAAAAATGGTGTCACAATACTCAAGTTAAGTTAATGTATATCGTTGTTACTTTTTTTAATTCAAATACTAGTAATATTGATATTACATGGAAGAAAAACTTATAAGCTACATTATAAGCTCAATTTTTTAAAAATTATAATTATGTTAGGATTCGAATAACATTTCTATTTTTATAATGCTTCTATAGGAACAGATATCCACCCACTTGCAAAAAAATTTCTCCACAGCTACTTTAACTCATCTATTTTAAGATAATACCGTGATAATAAAGTGCGAATTTGCATGTTGATTTTTGGCCACCTTTTCGAGCTCCCCTGGCCCACTGTGCAGTGTTGCAATAAAAACGGACTTATGAATATCGGCTTTAGTTCCGCGAAGTCATCGGCTTGAATTAGTTTTCTACAATCTAGCGACAAAATAGGAATTTCTGAGAGTAAAGCCCGTATCAGACTAAAGATTGAAATTGAAATTGAATTGGAATTTAACCAATTAGAAGAAAGAAAATCAATCTCAAATTTAGTGAACTTTGTTTTGATTGGTCAAATTCCATTCCAATCTCAATCTCAATCTTTAGTCTGATACGGGCTTAAGTGACACTTATTATTTCACTATGTTACCATCATTGAGCTATATTCTCTTCACCCAATCGCGACGTATATTATTAGCGATTTTAATAATGCAATTATAAAAGCCTTCGTGGAGAACGTAGGAAACGACTGACCAATACTATACATATATTTCATATAAGCCGATCTGCCTCTTTCCTCCTCTTCAATAAAAGGTATCGACAAAATGCAGAAGGGACGTCAATCCGAGAATGAATTCGTGGGCGTTCGACTATATCCTATATCGGACCGTTGCGGCGATTAAAGCGATAAAAAAAAGGGACGCGGTGTGACGCATATATTTCTGACGCTTCTGAGTAAGTATTTTATGCGCAAGCCACACACACGTACATACATCCGTCATATATGCACAATCTCTCTCTGTCATCAATTCTCAGGAATTTTTTTGCTAATACGTTCGAAGGACAAAAGTCTAATAACCGTTAAACGAAAAAAGAAGTTTCAAATTAATGAATAATTCTGTAAAGCGTTGTAACGTGAAAGCGTTTATTTTCGACGTGATTTCGGAATTTCATATAAACGTACGGTTATCTGACACTTCCGCTTTACTATCGTTAATTATCGAGATTCGCGATATTCGCGCTAGGCCTCGTCGGGATCGATAATTGCCAGGGTTGGGTAGTGGCTAGTTAAAAAGATAGAAGTTAAATTAAAAAGTTAAAAAGTAAATAATTTTAACTTAACTTAG